TGCCTCCGGTTCCACATCTGGAGGCCATTACCTCTGGGCCGGGATGGGGGAGGCGGGGCTGCTGGGGCTGGCTGTGCAGTGAGGTCATCGCGTCGTCGTGGCGATGCAGAGGGAACAATGATGCTGTTGTCTCCAATGACGACCAACCAGCGTCGCTAACGCCAGAGCGGGAGAGGGGGGCGGGGAGGTGGCGCTGCTTCAGGGGGGACGAGGAGAGAGTTTAGAGTCCGGGGACAAAACAAAATCAAATAGAAACTTTACTATGAAGACGAATAATGCAAAAGTAAGGATTTGTGCGAGGAGCCTGTTCTATGAGCTAATTGGTGTAAATCCAGGTTCAACAGAGACGCTCAGGGTTGCCAGACTCAAGTCTTTTAACCACTAAAAAAAATCCCCAACAGATCGTGGTCTGAAACCTGCATGTTCCATGTTCAGGATGAAGTCATGTTTTTAATGGGGGCAGATCTCCAGGTATAGCAGCGTGGTGGATTCAAAGTGAGCCCACTGTGCTCTGAAAGTGTCCTGCAGAATCCTGTCCAAGAGAAAATGTGGGCAAGAGAGTCGGAAATAAAAACGTAATTTGATGTCATGAGAACTAGCGAGTGGCACACATGCAGTATGCAGACACCTGGCAGCTATACGTGGATCAGATCTGTTAGTCAGGGGACTTAACCTTAGAATAAAAACTACATCTAGGAGTGAACCCTCTGAACCCAAAGCACTGTTTACGCCTGTCACAGTGTTACTCACTAAAGCTAAAGGTAGATGCAACTCAAAAATGTACAAAGTTATAATGGCATAAATGATCTAAAAGTTGAATTCCATTGATTATTTCCTTCATTTTCTCTTTTCTTTCTTTAATAAATCAACATGTACATTATTTTTCCAGCTGCCCACAGGTGTCACTAGCACTAGGGGGGTAATGGTGACTCAATATACAACAGATTATTCTCTACTTACATTTTTAATTTGACTCCATACTTCTGTCGTCTCTGCTCTGTGCAAACACTGCCTGCAGTTAAACCGAGTTCAGGCTAAAAGCTCCTGAATTTTCATCCCTTGACCGTTGGTCACAACTGAGTCACTGGTGGCTTCACGGCTGCACCGAAGAGGGCAGAGTTTTTAATTTTTTTATAGAACCTGATTAAGGCAAATGATGATGTGGTTATTTTTCTAGATGGATCCACATACACATGATATGTTCAAGGACTGTCAGAAAGTTGGAAATCTGAGGATTCTTATTGTTCTGTGGTTTGGATAAATGGAAATAATATTATTATTATACTGTACAGTACTTGCTTGAACCCTCTACATAAAATAAATTACTGTCTCACCTGCTTTAAAATTCCCCCTACATCAAGAAGATTGAATATGCAGAACCAGAGGTATGAATAAATGTGAATTAGTCACTTTGGTAAAGCAGAAATGAAGAGGAGACAACATTTGTACTGCTGTCATGCGTAACCGAGGAGCAGAGCAGCAGATAAAAGTGTCTGAATCCTTCTGCTCTACATTATCTATGTGTGTTAGTATGGAGCCGATACAGCAACACGTTCACCGTTCATGGTTCACTCGACTTTGAGCTGCTCTAAAGATTAAAATCTCAGAGATCCCTCAGTGCTCATGTGTAAATATGAGAACCGTGAATACAACAGACGTCTGATTTAGTGGAGCGCTGCAGCTGCCCAGTGACTTTACAGGACACACAGTCTCCAGCTGCACTTATTTATGACACACACCTCTTTTTTTTTTCTTGTTGGAGTAACGCAGTGGCAGTTGTGTCCGTGTGTGTGTGTGTGTGTGTGTGTGTGTGTGTGTGTGTGTGTGTTGCATGCTTTTGTATTCCCTAAAGAGTCAGCCGGGACTGCTGCTGCCGTTTCTCCTTATAAGGACGTCTGCTCTGTGGAAGGAGGGATGAAGAAAAGATGGAGGAGAGGATAGTCCGGGAAAATGAAAGTGAAGAGATTTTACAGAAGTTAATAAATGGAAGGAAGGACCGGCGGGGAGGGAGAAGAGGTAGCGAGGGAGGGAGACGAGGAGTGAAAGGGTAAGAAGATAGAAGAAATAATGAGGGATGGAGGGAAGAGAGGCATCGTGGGAGGGATGGAGGGAAGACAGGAGTGTGAAAAGGAGGGCATGGATGCAGAGAAGGAAAGTAAGACAGAAAAATAAAAGATGTGGTCATAGAGGTGAGAGAAGAGGGATGGATGGAGCCCAAGTGAACCCAGAGAGATAAAATATAGAGAAAAGAAAACTGGGACGCAGGTAATAGTGACCCATTTACACAAACTCTGCTTCGTCTGTTCCTTGTTCAGTTTGTGTTTCCAAAGACGCTCCAGTGATGTGAAGCAGCGACACAGTTATCTCGCTTGTGTTTTATCATCCTGTGCCTGTTCCTCTAAACAAGGAGGCTTCTATTGATGTCACTTTGATCGGCACTCGAATAAATCTGCGGCCACAGCGGCCAGAAATAGAAGCTGAAGCCTCAGCTGCAGGATAGCTGCTGTGTGGGAGGGAAAACCACCTGTAGTCTCCTCCAGCCTCATCGTAAGATCGGCATTATCTGAAAATGATAGTAAAAACGCAACGGTGCAGGTTTAGTCACTTGTTCTCTCCTCTGAGCGACGGCAGCGTACGGCTTGACCTCTACCCGGAGAACGCCGCGCTAGCAGCAACAATAGCAGCCAGTAGCATAGCAACAGCTGCTAGCAGCATCCGATCTCTGGATGTAGTAACGCGGGTGACAGCAGCGAGGATGCAGGGAGGAGCTCGTCCAATCATAATGCAGCGGTATCAGCCGAGTTCTGCTCCAAAAGCAGGACAACAAGCTTTTCTTTCACTTTCATGTTCCGCTGTGAGATTTCTCAAGACGCGTTTGAGGAATGTTATTTTTAACTCTGTGATTCTGAGTTTGTCTCGGCCGGTTTCCAGCTTTGATTCAATGATAAAGCATGATAGCTGCACCGATTAGCTCGCACTGCGGTGTCTGTGGGCGGCGCGGTGGAGCGGCGGTTTGCACCGTGTAGGTTCAAACCTGCTGGTGGACTGGGGCCTTGTGTGGGTTTCCTCCGGCTTCCTCCCACAGGCCAAACACTCCCATGGTAGACTTGTACATATGGCTGTAGGCGTGAGTGTGAGCTCGCACGGTTGTCCAACTCTTTGTGTTTGTCCTGCGATGTGCTGATGACCTGTCCAGGATGTACCCCGCCTCGGCTTTAACGTCAGCTGGGACAGAATCCAACCCGCCCAGAACCTCCACCGGATAAAGAAGGTGTCGGTAACGGATGGTAGGACGGCACAGTGACCGACAGTCTTAGGCTGAAATCTCAGGAAATAAAATCAGTAAAACTAAAACCAGAGTAAATAAAGTCTGATCAGGTTTATTCATGTACCACATTTTAAAACAACCTCAGCGGACCAGTGATGGCGGAATTTGGTGCAAACATCAGGAGAGGATAAAACTTCCATCCATCATCTCTACACCTTAATCCTCACCAGGGTCATGGGGGGCGGAGCCTATCCCAGCTGACTCAGGGTGAAGGCAGGTTCACCTGGACAGGTAACCAGTCTATCACAGGGCTACACTTAGAGACAGACAACCAAGCACACTCACATTCACACCTACGGACAATTTACAATCACCAATTAACCTCAGCATGTTTCTGGACTGTGGGAGGAAGCCGGAGAACCCGGAGAGAACCCACGCTGCACGGGGAGAACATGGAGACTCCACGCAGGAAGATCCCGGGTGTCCTCACCGGGACACCAACCAGCGACCTTCTAGCTGTGAGGCTACGATGCTAACCACTGAGACACCTGCAGCCCAAACTTATAAAAATCTATTTAAGTAAAGTCTAAAGTTTCTAAAGTAAAGTAAAATAGTGTGCAACTATGAAGTCCCACAGAATAGGATCGTAACTTGTAGGATTCATTTAGAGCAATAAGAGAAGCCAGAAGTCGCTGACAACGTGTACGTTCTTGGGTTTTTCTCAAAAATACGGTTGGAGGAGGAACATTTGGTTCAGTTTTATCTTTTATGTCACCTACAAATGGTCAGTTTTACTTCCTAAGTGTGTTTTTATTCCGGTCAGCTGCTCCAGAATGAGGTGAGCAATCAGCAGCCATGTCTTCACATATCTTTATACGTAGTTTGTAAAGTAACGCATTAGAAAAAGTTCATGGCAACGGCAGAGTTTGAAAACACTTCATTTATGCTTACATGAGGTGGTTTCTGACCTTTTTCCCATAAGTTCTGATCGTTTGCTTCACATGACTGATCAGATGTTTCCCTTCTTTGGTTGTGAAACAGAACCAACATGAGGAATAAAAACTTTCCCGACTGAAGACAGTTCCTGAATTTTCTACCAAATTTCTATCACAAATGGCCAAAGTTTTGTTTCCGTCTTTAAGAATTTTAAGCAGCTGGTTTGGCTTCCTGCATCTTGTGCTGAATGCAGCCTATAGCGCCACCTTCTGACAACGCTGCTCCGGCTGGTGTGTTCGCTGGAACGCAGTTAATAGGAACAAGCTTATATTTCGCAAAAGTTTGCTTCGAGCCATTATAGGGAAACGTGGCCACAGTGATAATGATGAGATGATGTACAGATTAATCTCATCACTGTTAACACAGAACACAGCAGAAGATAAAGAGCGAACAGAATCCACTTCAGCCCTCAAACTGCTCCATTTTCCATCGTCTCATCTGTTCTCGCTCACCTTCAGCGCCTTCAAAGATGACAAATTACTCCTCTGCTTCCCTTTTTCCTGACTTCTGCATTTTTATTTTGCTCTTCCTCTTTCTCTCCCTCATTCCTTTTTTTGTTTTTTGTCTCTCTCTCTCCCCCCTCCTACCTCCACGCTCCTCTCTTCCTTCCCTCCTCTCTCTCTTCAGCTGCTCCTCCCAGCTGTTTAATCACACATGGCTCATGCCTAAAGAAGAGAGGGAGGGAGGGGACAAATGGGAGGAGGAGAGACGGAAAGAAAGAGTGGGTGATAGACGGAGAGAGAGGCAGAGAATGCAAGCGGTGGGCCGAGTGTGAGGCACATGGCCAGTGAGTGAGAGATCTTTGCTTCCTGTGGGCTCCTTCTCGCTCTGGTTGGATTATTGCTGAGGAAGGACCTCGTCTGGACACCTTCTCCCTCTCTTCCCTCTCTCCTCCACCTCCCTCCCCCCGTCTCTCTCTCTCTTTACCTCTCGCTGAGGGACTCTCTGCCTTCCCAGGATCTCACCTCTCGTTCTCCTTTCACTCCCCCTTCTCCCCTGCTTCCCCCCTCCAGGATGTCGTGTGAGGAGGCTCAGCTCCACAAAGAGAGGCTGCAGGCCTTGGCGGTAAGTCAGCAGGTTTTTTTAAAACTCTCACTTGTTTGTGCTCCTTTTTCTTTGACCTTTCTGTCTGTTTGTTTTGTCTGCGACTTTTGCTCCGTGGCTGTCACCCAGACTTCATCCCGTTTCTTTTTTTTTTTCCCGTCATTGGCAGCAGAATGTCTCACCTAACTGTCTGCCACCTCCGAGTTCCTGCAACTCTGCCTCCTTCATTATTTCCCTCTCATTCTCTCTCTCTGCTCAGTCATTCATGATCCTGTTTTTCTCCCCCCTCATTCAAACACATGTACGTGGCGGGAAAAAGCACCCATGTAATCACATTTGTCTGTTGTTCGCCTCAAGCCGAAGCAAATTGACCTTTGGCTCTCAAAGCTGGATGACGTAAACCGCCGGTAGAGGTCTAGAAGTCACGGTGACCGCCGGGGCTGCAGCTTAAACATGGAGGAGTCTCTATACAGCCTCAGCAGAAGCTCTGTTTCCAACTTGACTTGCAGCAAACTGAGTGTGCGTTACACATTCACCAGGTTAGCTGCTGCTGTGGGAGGCTAAGTGCTTGCCAAGGCTACAAAAGCTGGAACAAAAATAAACCGCGCGCTGCATGTCAGTTTTGCATCAAGCACATTCATTGTCTGAGTGATTTTCTTGTTTTTTTAACACAGTAAATTAAAAAGTGAATGTGCCTAATGTGTTGGGAGCCCAGCGGCATGACATCATAGCCTCCTACACCCATCTTCATCACACAAAACAAAGTCATTTCTTGTTGTAATGTGCTCCCTCTCGCCGGCCGCTCTGTGTTGCTGTTTGTCTTGCTGTTCGTGTCAGCTTTCATCTTCTTCCATGTCTTTTTTTGTGGGGGGGGGAAGAAACCAACTCACAGGGAAGTTGGTGGAAAAAATCAGTTGTCCAGATGTGTGAGGTTTTGAGGTGTATCTGCTTTCCAGCGTAGAAGGAAGCTGAGCTGTGAGGTGGTCTAGAGCGTTTCGATGCTTCCCGATCGGAGGAGGCGTCTGTGTCAGCGCCGGGCTCGATGCTGATAGGGCTTCAGAGGAACGGTTGCACCGGGCTTCGGGACTAAATTTGGCGCCAGCGAGGAACCACAGCATACCACACACACTCGAGACGCACAGGAACACACACACACACACACACACACGCACGTTCAGGCACACAAGTGAGGGGGAACAGCAGCAGCAGATGGAGAAACTATTTTGGCCACGTTGGAACATGGCAGCCGTACCAGGCTGCATGTACTCAGAGGAAGGAAAGTTCTCACGGTTGGAAGAGACAACAATAGGCGTTCTACACAATAAGTGTTGTGTGTGTTGTGGCCAGAACAAGACAAAATAAGTGATTAATGGATCATCTAAATGAGTTTGGAACACGAGGCCAAGACAAACTAAAGCTGTGTTTTACTAACCTGGTAGGAACATTCAGCTTCACTTAAACGCTTCAGAGATTAACCCCAAAGCCCTGGTGTGTCCAGGAGTCTTTAATTAATCGTCAAAGCCACATGAATAATCAGAGTAAGAAACTGAAAACTAAGTTGGATTTTAAACTTTCCGACAACCCTTGAACTACTCATGTGTGATGTGATTCACCTGAAAATGGTGATATTTACTCATAATTCTTTTATTTTACACGTTTCATTGAAGAATTAAAGCGTTCAGCTGAACCAGATTCTACAGAGAAAACTAATAATTCCTCAGTGCAGCTGGGACTGTGGGATGAACTGCAGGCAGTGTTGATCAGAGCAGAGAGGAGACAAATACAAATTAAACTATAAGTAGTAAAATATGTTCATTTAATAACTCCATCATCACAAACCTTCAGAAAACCCAGTTATCCATCATCTACCTGAGACATCAATCAGACTTAAGTTATCTCTGTTTCTGTCATTTCTACTGAGTCAGATCCACTCAGCTTCGATTTTATCTCAAGAAAACAACAAAAAAATACGTTTTCTGAAAATCTACAGAAATGGAGTTCTCTGTTTTTGCAGATGAACTCTTCATGTGTTGTTTGTAGAGTCACCTTTGTTTGTGTTTTACTAGTATTGGTGACACCTGGGGGCACGTAGAATGTTTCTTTAATGATTTATATCATTATACTGTATGGAATGCCAAAAGGGTTCAGAGGGTAATATAATCACGTCTAATTCTATCCACAAGTAGCATCAGACCTGCTGCTGTTGGTGCCAAGAGCTCTGGCATCCAGCTCAGGTCAGACATCGAATCTGAGTAAATCATTTGGGCCTCTTTGTCCAAACGAGCATCTGTCTAGTTTCAGCTGAGTGTGTGTACTCTATATCAAAGACAATAACGGCGCTAATAGCTCCCAACCCCAACCAGGGCACTTAAACAGAGAAGGGTTACTCTTACACTAACAGTACTAACAGCTCTCTGAGCGCTCAGACGAAGCCAAGCGGCGCAGGTCAAGTGTAAATACAGGAGCTGGACCAAGATTCCCACAGCATCCCGTATGGAAGGGGAAGAACTGTATAAACCTGAATGTCAATCTGGTCGAGCCAAAAGTACTAAAACAAGCTATGTTTTGTCTCTAACAAGGATGTAGTGGAGCGATATGTGACCTTCTGCTTTCTAGATCAGCATCAGTCACCCCTGCAGAGCGGCGTACAGTAGCACTCACAGTGTCTCCGGTCTGCAGCTGGCATGCTAATGAGTCCATCTATAATTGATATGCTGAGATTTCATTGTCATCACCATCAGTGTCTGCTCTCATCAATACTTCAGCACATCTCCGGCCAAATCTGACGCTTCCTTCCAAACCGGAGCCAAGCGTTGGGCCGGTCCTCCGTTTCTGTGAGTCGACTGCAGACAGAACCACTAAAGCTGACACCGATGTTGATTAACGTTTCATAATGATGTACTGCAGCCTCCCAGCCGCGCTTTATTCATCAAACTGGACCGAAGAGATCACAGTCAGGCAGGTAGCAGACAGCTGTAGTGTGCATCTACCACAGTGACGTATTCTGTGATGCTCATGAATAACGTAGAGCACAGCGGGAGACAGGCGGCGCAGTAACGGCTCACATTTAAGTCTTCTTAGATAACACATCATAATCAGGACTTCTGTCAAGTTTGAGTCGTCCAGATGTGAGATTGTGGGGAAAAAAAATCTGTTTACCTTAAAGTTTGGGCTGATTTCAGGTATTTGTTCTTTACTGTGTGGTATTTATTATGTCAGGGAGCTTTTATTTATAAAACTTTCTCATAATTCTTAGAAATCGTGCACATTTGCATCTCGTGCTCCAAACACACAGTGTGATTTTATTCCTGCAGTACTTTTATATTAACAGTTGAATGAACTGCATCAGTCGTCTTTTGTCTCTTTACCATAATACCCTCTTTAAACAAAGATTATTTAAGTGAACATGGTGGAAACTGGTGGGTTTTTCTTTAATGTTGACATTTAAATCTGTGACACCCACGATGAGAAGCTGCAGACCGACTTCCCTTCCTGATAATCAGATTACTCAGACCATTAGCTGCTCAGTGCAACGAAGCTACGAGACGTTCGGCCGCGTTTAATCTATCACTTGATTAGTTAATTGGCTCATTTGTCCGTCGGACGTGCAAACAAAGATTCCCACAGTCTGATAGTAATTAGAGCCGGTCAGCTGCCAGCGGCGCCGGTTTCCATGGTTACTAATTGGTCAGATTAGGGGAACAGTTGTGATGTCACGTTGTTAAATCCAGACCTGCAATTGGTGTATTATTACCATGTAATTATAGCAGTTGGATGGAGCGCAGCCTGGTCAGGGTTCCCCGAAAAGCTGACGCGAGTGTGTGTGTGTGTGTGTGTGTGTGTGTTTTCGTAAGTGCATGTGTGTTCCTCCAGAGCCTTGCATGTGGTTTCAGCGTCAGCCAATGAACGGCGAGCGCTTCATCATTCTAATTAAACCGTTGCCCGCGTGGCCTGCCAACCGCCAGCGGCACGGCACAAAACATATACAGAAGCGTGTGTGTGTGTGTGTGTGTGTGTGTGTCTTTTTCGTGCACCGGCTTCTCTGCAGTGTCTGTGATGTGTTTACATAGATGACCTCAGCCCTTTGGACTCTCTGCTTATCCCCCAAAACACACACACACACACACACACACACACACACACTCCAATGCACACAAGCCTGCAGATCGTCTGGTGCCAAGTCCTGGGGGAATCAGGAAGCGGTGCGTGAGGACTGAGATGATGGTGGTGGTGGTGATGGTGGTGTGTTGTTGGGAAGAAGAGAGACAATGAAGAACTGAAAGCTGCTGCTGGTGCTGGGTGGGAACCAGTTCTAGATGTTTTACTGGAAAAACTACTGTCTCTTAGTAAAAATCCTGCGAGACGAATGCGCCATTATGAATTATGTGACTTTAGATAAAGTCTGTGGAGCGATCTGCGGAAGTCACTCTGGATTCTGGATCCACTTAGGGAGGTTTAGCAGAGGGAGGCTGGTGAAGGTGAAGGGGGGGATGCAGTAGCTCGGCCTTGGCATGGGCTGGGATGTGTGATTTGGGTTGCAGTGGAGGGCCGGGGTATCGAGCCGAGCTGAGCGGGGGGCTGGGCCGCCCGCGGGCATCTGCTGTTTCAGTTTGGTGCAGTTTACTTACTTTGAAACCGACACAGCGGCAGCATCAATATCTTGATTTTGAGAATATCGACTTGTCAGGGTTTTGGTTTCTAAGAATAGCTTTAGGCCGAGGTTACGTTTTTATCACACCGACACTGAGGTTTAACGGCGCCGTCGTGTGCTCGGGGACAACGTTTTGAATGCCTTGAATAAAAGCAGCTTAAGTTTGTTCCAGGCTGGCCTTGAACCTCCTATCTGCTGTTTTTTGCACCTTCTTAACAACCAAACACAACAAAAATGAAGCTGTTGCAAACTAAATGTAAATTAGCCCAAAAAATAACCCCAGTAGGAGTTTGTTTGTCCCAGTGTCAGCTCTGCGCTCACAGTCGGACACATTTCTGAGTAAACAGCACACACGCCTGCAGCTGTGTTC